GGGGGGGGGGTCTGCGGGAGAGGGGTTAGAGAGGCAGGAGGTTGGTAAAGGTTAAGGTGAGAAACAGAAGGAACAGAACCTTAGAGGAGGTAAACAGCCACCAGAGGACACTGATGATGAGCAACAGGCTGATGGAGGCCAAAAGCTGCTGCTAGCTACCACACAACACATGCAAACCGCTCACACAAGCCACACACACACACACATACAGCTGTCATGTGGGTGGTCACCTGCCCTTTTGATGACCTCCACGATGTTGGATGGGAAGTAGCCCACGCGGTCGTTTCCGGTGCGGTTGTCATGGATGCAGCCCTTCCACCGGCCGTCAGAGTGCTGCTCCAGCACCTGTACACAAACATCTGTCTGAACGAGGAACACTTGGTGGAAAAATGGATGAATAAGATGATGCACTGACTTATTGCCCAGAAGATGCCTGGTATCAGATGATCTTCTTCAGATTATGTTTAAATGCATGTAGCAATTGCTCCTGAGAACTAGTGAAAACCATCTTCAAGATGAAAGCTTAAGAAGAACCTCCAGAGTGTCCTGTTTCAGAAAGCAGGATAAGTGAAAATTCTGAGAAAGTTCTGGGGTAACTATGTGCATATCCTGGGTTTTCTGTTTCAGAAAGCTGTGTATCAGCTATCTGGAGTCAACTTACTACTGCAAAGTACTCCGTGAACCATCCCTGTTCGGCAGCAGGATTGTTTGAACAAATCCTGAGTTTGTTCTATGTTTTAGCTGAAACCTGGCACAAGGAAAGCATCAGAAATGAAGTGTTCTTTTCTGTGGGAGCCTGTACATGTTGGAGAGTAGATACTCTGCAGAAATCCCTGTCAGACGAGGGTGATCACACTGCAGTTAGGTGTTTTATTGTTCCCCGTCTAATATATTTTCTAGCGTTACTGGTTTTTGCCATAGTTAAATCTTGCGCCCGCACATCACTCATATAACACAACGAGGACATTCTTTGTGCTGCACTTTGTTTTAATGCTAACCAGGTCTTGTTAGAAAAGTTACTGTAGCACATAAACTGAATGTACAGCTGAGGCGTCTTTGAGGTGAATGTGAATCTGTTACTCACATTAACATGATGAGGTTCTACCGAACACCAGGGTTTAATCCCTGGCTGGTTTCTTTATGTTATTGCTTTCAGGCATGAAAAGCTTATTTTTAGGCAAATTTTAATTTTATAATAGAACTTTTTAAATATGAGCCCTCCCACTGTTGAGCTGTACATCATTGTGACTTTATCATGTTCTGAAACCAAAACCCTGATTATCATAGAATAGGTGGTTTATTCAGAGTATCTGCCCGAGTTTGTTAGCCCTGCTTTCCGAAACAAGGCCCTGAAGTTTTTCACCAGAATCAAATCAAATCAAA